TGTGGGTAATGTCATGTAGATTTTTAGGATTATTGTCAGATTTGGGGAAAACTCTTTCAAGTTTCTTTCAACATATGAACTATAAGGTTTCAGGGCACGTTAAGTGTTTCTGTGCAGTGTCTCATTTAAATATGAAGGATGCCCATTCGACACATTTTTGGGGGCCTTCCCGAGCCTTGGATGGGACTTGTGTTAGTGAGGGGTGCTGAGGTTTAAGTTTCAATATTTCATGGTAAATTTTCCTCTAAGTTAACAATAAATGTCAACTGCATTATATTTTATTATGTTTATTGACATCTTTTAAATTTTATACTTTTAGATTAACTAAAGAATGAGTTCTCATTGAGACTAAATAGAATCTTAATTAGTTAAATTTTGTGCAACAGTTATTTGTCCAGAATCATTTGTTGCCTGTCTCCTTTGATCAGCCTGTGTCATGCTGACCATTGGGAGCCTTCGATGACGTGAAGCAGATAACAGACAGCTCAGTGTCTTCATGCAGTAACTACACAATGTGCTAAGCCACTGTGATCATCATCACCTTTCAGTCAGCGTCGGATCTGGAAATGGGCACCTGGGGATATAAAGTTCAGATATTCTCCCTCTGGGAGGTTGACATGCGCTTGGCTTCAAGTCAAACTCTGAGACCTGAGTGGGAGTCATCAGTTCAGTTCAGTTGCTCTGTTGTGTCCGACTCTTTGTGACACCATGAACTGCAGCACGCCAGGCTTCCCTGTCCATCACCAACTCCCAGAGCTTGCTCAGACTCATGTCCATTGAGTTGGTGATACCATCCAAGCATCTCATCCTCTGTCGTCCCCTTCTCCTCCTGCCTTCAGTCTTTCCCAGCATCAGGGTCTTTTCCAATGAGTCAGTTCTTCATATCAGGTGGCCAAAGTACTGGAGCTTCAGCTTCAGCATCAGTCCTTCCAATGACTATTCAGGACTTATTTCCTTTAGGATGGACTAGTTTGATCTCCTTGCAGTCCAAGGGGCTCTCAAGAGTCTTCTCCTACACCACAGTTCAAAAGCATCAATTCTTCAGCACTCAGCTTTCTTTATAGTCCAACCCTTACATCCATACATGACTACTGGAAAAACCATAGCTTTGACTAGATGGACATTTGTTGGCAAAGTAATGTCTCTGCTTTTTAATATGCTGTCTAGGTTGGTCCTATCTTTAATTTCATGGCTGCAGTCACCATCTGCAGTCATTTTTGGAGCCCCCAAAAATAAAGTCAGCCACTGTTTCCCCATCTATTTGCCATGAAGTGATGGGACCGGATGCCATGATCTTCAGTTTTTGAATGTTGAGTTTTAAGCCAACTTTTTCACTCTCCTCTTTCACTTTCATCTAGAGGCTCTTTAGTTCTTCTCCACTTTCTGCCATAAGGGTGGTGTCATCTGCATATCTGAGGTTATTGATATTTCTCCCGGCAACCTTGATTCCAGCTTGTGCTTCATCCAGCCTGGCATTTGATATAATGTACTCTGCATATAAGTTAAATAAGCAGGGTGACAATATATAGGCTTGACGTACACCTTTCTCAATTTGGAACCAGTCTGCTGTTCCATGTCCGGTTCTAACTGTTGCTTCTTGACCTGCGCACAGATTTCTCAGGAGACAGGTGAGGTGTCTGGTATTCCCATCTTTTGAAGAATTTTCCACGTTTGTTGTGATTCACAGAATCAAAGGCTTTGGTGTAGTCAATAAAATGGAAGTAGATGTTTTTCTGGAACTTGCTTGATTTTTTCTATGATCCAGCAGATGTTGGCAGTTTGCTCTCTGGTTTCTCTGCCTTTTCTAAATCCAGATTGAATATCTGGAAGTTCTTGGTTCATGTATTGTTGAAGCCTTGCTTGGAGAATTTTGAGCATTACTTTGTTAGCGTGTGGGATGAGTGCAATTGTGTGGTAGTTTGAGCATTCTTTGGCATTGCCTTTCTTTGGGATTGGAATGAAAACTGATATTTTCCAGTCCTATGGTCACTGCTGAGTTTTCCAAATTTGCTGGCATATTGAGTGCAGCACTTTCACAGCATTGTCTTTTAGGACTTGAAATAGCTCTGCTGGAACTCCATCACCTCCACTAGCTTTGTTTGTAGTGATGCTTCCTAAGGCCCATTTGACTTCACATTCCAGGATGTCTGGCTCTGGGTGAGTGATCACACCATCATGATTATCTGGGTCATGAAGATCTTTTTTGTATAGTTCTTCTGTGTATTCTTGCCACCTCTTCTTAATAACTTCTGCTTCTGTTAGGTTCGTCCTGTTTCTCTCATGGTTCATCTCAACTCTAGATGACACTTGCTTCCCCTCTAATTCTATAATTAATCTCCATTCATGAATTCTGCCTTCATCAATAATGCTCTATTAATGTGGCCAAATTTATACATTCAGGCATACTTTTCTAAAAGCATTTATGTATTTGGCTGTGTCCGGTCTTTTTGCCTTTTCGTTGTGATCCTGGGGTTCTCGAGGCAAGAATACTGAAGTGGTTTGCCATTCCCTTCTCCAGCGGACCACGTTTTGTCAGTCCTGACTAGCAGGAACCTGCGCTTCCGCCACTCCGCCCTAGCTCTGCTGTGGCACGGGCGATCTTCCGTCATAGCGTGTGGACTCTGGTTGTGACACATGGGCACAGTAGTTGCAGTCTAGCTTCGTTGTTCTGTAGCACGTGAGATCTTAGTGCCCCAACCAGGAATCGAAGCCACATTCCCTGCATTGCAAGGTGGTTTATTCACCACTGGACCACTGGGGAAATCCCCATTCAGCCATACTTTTTAAATGCTCAATGATAATATTAACTTCATGTTTTTCTCTCAGATCTTTTTATTCCTATCAAGTCCAGCCACTGTTTGGCAAAAAATACTGCTTTCTCTGTTTCTTTTTAGTGAAACACAGTTGATTCACAATGTTGTATTAGTTTCAGGCATACATCACAGTGATTCAGTTATACATATATGTTCATAAACATATGGATCTATATTCTTTTTCAGATTCTTTTCCTTTACAGATTATTGTAAAATATTGAGTACAGCTCCCTGTGCTGTAATGTAGTTTCTTGTTTGTTGTCTGCTTTATATATATGTAGTATAGTGCAGTGAAAGTCGCTCAGTTGTGTTCAACTCTTTGCAACCCAATGGACTATACAGTCCATGGACTTCTCCAGGCCAGGAAGTCGGGTAGCCTTTCCCTCCTCCAGGGGATCCTCCCAACCCAGGGATCAAACCCAAGTCTCCTGCATTGCAGGCAGATTCTTTACCAGTTGAACCACAGTGGAAGCCCAAGAATATCGGAGTGGGGAACCTATCCCTTCTCAAGTGGATCTTCCCAACCCAGGAATCAAACCAGGGTCTCCTACATGCCAACTGAGCTCTGAGGGAAGCCCAGACTGTGTATATATTAATCCCACACTCCTAGTTTATCCCTCCCCTCCTTTTCCCTTTGGTATCCGTAAGTTTTTTCTTATGTCTGTGCAGTCGATTTCTGTTTTGTAAATAGCTTCTTTTTTTTTTTTTAAGATTAGTGTTCTCTATTTTGTAACGTTAAAGACTTGACTCAGGTTGAAACATCTGTGGACAGGGGGTCAAGAAGTAGGATCCGTCACTAAGTCCGCGTGGGGATGTGGTGGGATGCTTTGGGTTACAGATGACAGAAAATTCAGCTCAGTCAGTGTCCAGACAAGAGAGGACATGTGTTGGCTCCTGCAGTGAGTGCTGGCTGGACCTGCCTTGTCTTCAGGACCCGTCCAGTGCCTTTGGAGCTGATGATGGGGTCAGTCCAACCCAGACTACAAGACTGCAGAATTCGGGGTGCTCTTGGGAAGGCAGAGGAGAATACACCCTGGAGAGGCTGTTACCCGTGTTATGTTCTGACCCGTGGCCCTAAGTAAGGCACTTCTCCGGGCTTCAGTTGTCCCCATACTTACGGGGCTTGCACATTGCCTGGGGCCCCTGCTCTGCAGTAAGAGGAGCCGCTGCAATGAGACGCCCACGACCACACTTAGGGAGCAGCCCCTGCTCCCAGAACTGGAGAGGGCACACAGGTGGCAATGAAGACCCGGCGCAGCCACACATAAATAGCGTTTAAAAAATAAAATAAATCAGGGAGCTTGTCTGAATCCTTGAGCGAAGTCCTTCTTAAGCGTCACCTCTCAGGTTTTACTTATTAATTGGTTTTTGTAATGAAAGACCAAACCTTTTTCAGGCCAGTACTGTAAAGCTGAGCATGTAATCGGTAAACAAATAGCTCTGTTTAGATAAGTCAGGGCAGTCAGTCTTAGTAACGTTCTTTCTACTCAGGAGTTGTAGATTTTCATCTAGAAAAATGCACGGTGGAGGATGAGAGGGAAGACCCCCAGAAAACGATTTAGAAGCCTTGCTTTTCCTGAGTAAAGCATGCTTTGTCTGTGGCCAGCGTAACTTGGTTGTTCGTTCACAGCGGATCCAGGAAGGTCCAGGCATGGCTTATTTTTCCTCCTCTAACCACTGGAGGCTCAGCTAGGATCACAGAGAAGCCACGCATTGTGATTTGGCTTCAGAGGGAGCTGGGGTTTTCAGAAGCCAGAGAGGGGCTCATGGCAGGGGAATCAGATCCCTGTGGGTATCGAGGGTTTCTCAGGACCGAACACACAGACCTCAGCTTTCTGCTTCACTCACTTCTTACGGAGCCTTTGGCCAGCCTGGACTGAGACTCCAGCACTGGCCGCAGGACACTTTCAAGGCGTATCTGGGGGTGGTTCCTGAGAGAATGAACTGGGCCTTGGCACCCAACAGTTCTGGGACATGGAGGTGACGTGGTGCCAGAGATGGCAGTGGGCTCTGGGAGTGTGTCCCCTTCTCCATCTCTAGTGCGCAAGGCTGGGTGCAGACTCCGGGGACCCGGGGGGCCCAAGACTGCCTTAGCTGGGGAGTCTTACCCTCCTGTCCAGGACATATGGGAAGAAGTACTGCTAATGTAATGAGTAGTACAGTCGGTATATTTTTCTCGTGGCTGGCTCATTTTGGAATGTATTCATAGAGCTGGCAAAGGTTGATCTGTGCCTTGATTGAATTCCCTGCAATACAGCTTTGGGAAATGCGTTCTGGTGTGGTGGTCAGTGGTGTTTCTAAACTGTGCAGACGATTACCCCCTGACTTTGTCTGCAAAGTGAAAGAGTTAAAAAATGGTCTCTGGTCAAATGTCTGTGCTTTGGAAGTGTGAGCTTGCAGGGAAACCATCAGCTCCTTCTCCATGCAGTGGGGGTCGTCTGTTGGATTAGAGGAGGTTACAGTGAAGACTGGAGATGGGGAGTAGATTGTTCCATGAGTCGCTTGTTGGACATTTTCATAACTGCTTATTCTTTCTGAGGGTCCATCCAAGGGGGAGATGGGGGCAGACTTGGCCTGGCCTCTGGAGTTGTCAACTGTCATATGTTTTTTTCCCCAAACCTCGTGCTTTATGATTCAGCCAGGAGCGCGGTGCTGGCCTGTGACCGTGTCACTGGGACTTTTGGTATTTCGTAGATAGGTTTGTTATTCATCGAATGATGTCCATTTCTGTGTAGGCATCAGGAGCTAAGCCTGTGGAAGTAGAAAAGAGTGTCTGTAGTTAGTGGTCCATTTGAAAAATGCTATGCAAAAACCAAATCAGAGAAACCCAAAAACCTCTGACTAAGGAGCTCGAGAGGTAGATTGCAAGCAACAAGCTGTCTTCTGTGAGCTTGGAAATTAGGCCTTGGATACCCTAAATGGGAGAGGTCAGTGATGAGACGATGGGCAGTGCAGGCCAGTGAGACCTGGGGTCTTCACTTTTCATTCTAGCTCCTAGCGCCAATTATTCACCACCGGCAAATAACTTCTTTATTTTATATTATTTTATTTATTTCATGTTTTGGCTGTGCTGCACAGCTTGCGGGATCTCCGTTCCCCAACTAAACTGAAGTCGGTCACAGCAGTGAAAGCCCCGAACCATAACCACCAGGCCACCAGGGAACTCCCATCACTTGACGCCTCCATGTCCTCATCTGTAAAAGAGGATGACAGCCCTCCCTGGGAAGGACCATGGAAGAACACAATAAATACTGCCGTTGAAGCTCCAGGCGTGGTGCCTGGCACGTAGGAAGCGCTGGAGAGCTGGTGGTGTTTTGTATGTTGGGTGGTTCTTTGGATCGCAGTAATTGGGTTCTTGGTGTTCATTGTTGCGGCTTTTGTTGTTCAGGTGCCTTGAACATCCGCAGGCAAAACCTGCTGTCCTTTGGCCCTCAGGACGCTGAGGAGTGAGGAGCTGTGAGGAGGGCCTCTGGACCAGCGGGTCTCCCTGTCAGTCAGACTGGTTACTAGGGAAGGGCCCCATGTGGCTTGGTTTCCTCGCCCTTCCACGGAGGGGTGACAGAAGTCTAGTCAGCGGCGAGCTGTAGAGACGCCGAGGCTCCACCGGGACGCCGTGTTAGACATCGCCATTTCTTTGGATGGAATCGGGCTCTCACACATTTCATACAGACAATGACAGCAAATCTGCAGGAACTCTCGTGCACAGAGGACCAAAAGAATGGCTTCCTACCCGACACAGAAACGTGGGTGAAATCACACAAACACGAAGAACCCCCAGACGGCTGTCCGTAGGTGGCAAAGTACTTTTCTATCAATATGGCAGGGCTCCTCTTGCTTTGAAAGGACAAACTTGCTTTGCATTTCAGACAGCGGAAATGGCCGAACCAGTCTTTAGTTCACGGGCTAGAAACTGAAAACAACGTGAAAAGTTTTCCTTAAATGGAGACACAGCTTGGCCGGGTCTCAGGTTGAAGTTCAAGCCCGGGTCTCAATTGGCCTTGCACGGGGTGCTCCTCATGTGTTATGCAAGCTTCCTCTGCCTACGACCGGGGAATCATTCATTTTCTTTTTCCCCCTGTAATCTCGAGGTGTGTACAGGGCACGACCGAGCCTCAGACCTTTCTGCTTTCACTTTTGGTTGTTCAGAACCTCCATCTGGCGATATTTGACTATGAGTGCTTTCTGTGGCTTTTCTGTGGCTCCTGTTCAAAGTATTCAAAGCAGTTTAAAAATACATAATGTTCAGCGATCTGACCAAGAACTAATGTAAGTACTTATTTGAGGACTATTTTTGAAAAAGAAAAAAACACAAAAACCTATTAGATTTGAACCTCTTTAACTTTTACTGATCTTGGAAATAGATACTAAGATTTTTAAAAAAGGTTTGAAAAATACAGGACTTCTTCTCCAGAGTCATAATGCTTGGAGTGGTGACAGTAGCTGTAAACAGCAGAGTTTGTAAAAACAGAAGAGCCAAAATTCTTTATTTAATATTAAACAGGAAACTGAAAGCAGTGTGCAGCAATGTGGTGGGTTTCCAACAAACCTGCTGCTGGGTTTATCTTCACTGAGCAGCCAAAATGAGACATTTCCCCTTTTATTCTTTGAGTTTTCATGAAAATCTCCACCAAAACATGACCACTGGAAGCAGGTTCTGTCTTGTTAGATTTTAAAACAAGCAGTTTCCACTAGAACCTAGGGAAATTTGGAAGCCAGTTGCCAACCTCTCCGAGAGAGTAAAATGCACTTTTGTTTCGCCTTTGTGCAGGGCTGTCACTCACCCAACATGTGCATCTGAATATTCTTTCCGAAGACCTGGGCTTCATTTTAAGGTCAGCCTTCAATTTCGAGAGAATATAATTTGCTGCTATTTTTAGAGCATCATGATTGCTCGTAATAACTAATGGAAAAAACTCTACAGAGAAATAAATGTGTAACAGCTGTGTCTGCTTAAACTTGATTAAAGGCAGTGAAAAAAAAAAGTAAACAGAAGAACGAATGTGACAATGGATGGAAGGAGAGACAAGTGCCCCTCATTGTGAAAAGTTTTACAGACATAACTCGCTCTTCTTTGGAGGCCAGCGGTGTCTGTGTTTAAAGTTTACTTTACTGTTTGTCTTGAGTGGGATCAGTGTTGTAGTGAATAATTTATAGGCAGCATGAATGAGCTCATTAGTCACCTTTTCAGACTTTAAATGAGTTTTGTGGTTGTCATTACTCGAGCCTTCTGTTCAGCCGCCGAGCAAAATGACAGTTTGGCAGTTGGCTGCCTTGTTGTCGGGCAGCCTGCCCCCCGTTCAGGTCTGCACTGCTTTTGTGTTTCCTTGGAACCTTCCCCTTCTCTCCTTGCACTGGCCTGGGGGCTCTCATGTTTCAGATGCCTTTTGCACCCCCAGTTTAAATGAGTTTTTCGGGGATTAAAAAAAAAAAAATCTTCCAGTTGTGTCTGCCAGAGAGAATGCCGTAGATGGAGTGAGCTTTTTTCCTCCCTAGCAACTCCTGTGTATGATTCCCTTTGTGCTTGGTTTGATCTTCAGGTTCTCCAACAGCAATGAGCTCTGGAGTCCTGGCTGGACGGCTGAGCTGGGCTCTCACACGGGGGCAGGCGCTGCAGGCCGGGAGATGTCACTGGAGTCTGGAGGGGAGAGGGGTGTGTCGGAGTAGGTTTTCATCGTTCAAGTCCTCAGCATCCATGTGCTGTGGGTGTGTGTGGTTGAAGAAATTTATTCCAGCAAATCTGCCTGGCTGGATTATCAAGGCCAAAGAGAACCATGTTTTTCCTACAAAGAGGTCGACCAGATGACCTTTCAGGAACCCAGCCAACTGGGAGTCCACATTGTTGGGAATGGCCATTGCTTCTTCCCCAACTCTACATCCTCCCAGTCCTGGGTCATTAAGAGAAAGTTGAATGGTTGCAGTTGCCTTCTCACCGTGCACTTGGAGACTTATGGTGGTGGTGGTGGTGGTCAGGGGGGCTGGTACGTGGGGAGGATGAGCCTGGGCATGCGAAGAGCAGGTGGGGTTTCTTTGGAACCGATGTCATGATGTTCATCCCTCCCTTTGACCTTGGCCGGGGGAGCCTCCAGAGAGCTCTGGGACTAGACTCCATCCAGAAGTCCAGGGCTCTGTGGCATGCCCACCTGGGCCCTCGATCACCTCTGCTGGCCTCCTGGGGCATGGATGCTTGCATGGGGAGTCTCAGCCAACCGCCTGGAACCCGTGGTGAGGCCCCTCTGACATTAGCTATGAGCAACGGGCACCCGTGCCTGCCGTCAGCGGTGTGGGCAGCACCCCCTTCCGGGAGCCACACTGTTAGCCAGCTGGCCCAGCGCTGTGTGGGCACAGAGGAAGGATGCTCCGGGCTCCTCTCTGGAAGAAATGCCAATTTAGAAAGGATGCCTGGTTGTCCAGGGGCCAAATCTTTGGAGCCAGTCAGAGTCACATGTCTCTGAGTATAGAGAAATGAGGTTTGCACCCACAGAAAGACAGCAATCCATTTGACTGCTTCCTCCTCAGTCTCCCCCCTCCCCCTGTATGGGATGGAACGCACACACGCACTCAGGCCTCACACTTTATGGGCACGTTTTGCTTGTATCTGAATCACAATGTTAAAGGCACAAGAGATGCTATTTTTGGAAGAAGGAGGGTTTTCAAAACTGAAAGTGTCGGTGAACTGTTCTACCCAGTAGAGAAGAGACTTCAGGGTTGGCTGTCATAATAAACTGAGTAAGTTGCTTCTCTTTGTCAAAGAGCTTTGTCCAGCAGGGAAATATGCTGGTAATCGTTTTACTCTATGTCGTGTTCCCCAGAGAGCCCAGAGAGTTCCCCAGACTTGGAGCTTCTATGGTACTTTGTTTTAAAAAGACAATCTCAAGGCAGAAGAATCTATTGTTTTCTTTCCCATCCCTCTGAAAAAGTGGAGTGAGAGAAGTTGTTTCTTGGCATGGTCAGGACTTTGGCAGACCTCGTCACCAAAAGCCATGAGGCTGCGGCACTTGGTGTACGTGTGGCCGAGAGGAAAACAATAAATGCTCTCAAAACGCTGGCGGAGAAGAGGGTCGATGATGCCACTTTCCTTTTACTAATCTGTACAGTTATTAGATGGGCTTCCCAGATGGCTCAGTGGTAAAGAACCCACCTGCCAATGCCGGAGACGCGGGTTCGATCCCTGGGTCGGTAAGATCCTCTGGAGAAGGAAATGGCAGCGCCCTCTAGTATTCGTGCCTGGAGAATCCCACGGACAAAAGAACCTGGTGGGCTACAGTTCATGGGGTCGCAAAGAGTTGGTCATGACTTAGTGACTAAACGACATGGTAAATAGATACCAGTTTAAGAGCGGGATAAAAAAAAGAGCATTTTTTCGCTAAGTGATTGATACTTTCGATTACCACTAATGCCGCATGCTGTGAGCAGAGAGAAGCATAAGACAAGGTCCTTGCCTCTCAAGGCGCGTGACGTCTGTCTGACACTCGGCAGCTGGCTGACTTGTTTTCTATCAGGAAGGGACACCGCACCGCACTGATTAGGACACGCACGCTGAACTTTGTCTTTGTGCAGGTGGTCCTTTTACATTCAGGTTAAAAGCTCCCTTCTTCCTTCCCCCTCCTGGGCACAAGTTTTCCTCTCTTGCACCCCACTGCTCCTGGCCTCCACATCCTTGACCCCTAAGAGGTTCTTTAAGAACTTGCTAAAATTTCTTTGTGATCACAAAATCAATACTTGTGCTTTCGTGGTCTTTCGTGGACATGTGCAGAGTGGCAGCGAATTTGAGTCATCCAGCACACGCACTCCCAGCTGAGAGGAAACCAAGCAACTCTCCCCTTTTCTCTGTCCGCTTTCCCGCTGTAAACAAGTGTCCTTTGAAATGTCTCTTTGGTGTTATCTGTGTGTTGGTGGCTTTGCTGTTTGAAGCGGTACCGGCTCGGCGTGCTGCAGTCCCGTCTTATGCTCGTAAGCGCTGGGGACCGACTGCCATCTGGACAAAAGACTAGCTTTTCTTGTGTTTGATAAGCTTTGTTTAGACATGAGTTCTAGTGCCGGTGGCTGTGAGTTCAATGTTAATGAACCAGCCTATATATAAATACGTATTTATAGTACATAAGGTGTCTTTGAGTGCAATCAGAGAAAATAAGGTAGCATACGGATCAGTTAAAGAACAGGTGGTGACCAGTGACTCGTAGGAACCTAACTCTAGATCTCTTCTAGGAGCAGGGGTGAGTATTTGCTAATTCGGTGTCTAACTGAATCCTGAGAGTTGACTGTAGCTAAATGGAATCCAGGCGCTCAGAGGGGCAGCCTCTTTTAAGACATGCTTCTGACTGCAGGGAATATTCCCGAAAAAGCAGAAGTAGTTCTGGTCACGCAGAGTGCCTCAGCTCAGCACAGATTTTTCTATCGGGTTTGGAAAAAACCTTAAAAAAAGATGTAACCACATTTGGTCTCGTAGAAGCATAAGTTGTTATAGACCATCCATCTGGAAACGGAGTAAATTCTTAATTCAGGAGTATTTTCCCTCGTCTTTGAACCTATGTAAGAGTTTGTGGGAAATGTTTGATACCCAAAACCAATAAATTGAAAGCTTTCCCCCAGCCAGACAACAGACCCCATTACGCAGGGTATAATAATTGTTATACTTAGCAATTCTCTTATTTGCTGGGAGCACCAGCCTTTTCAGAAAGGGATCATTTTGTCCCTTCTAATTGAAAAGATCACAAAATGCTTCACTTTGGTGAAAAGCTTTGCCAACGTATCTGTTTTCCCCCCACTTCTTACATTATGAAATGTTTGCAAATGGTTTCACACATACAGTATATAAGAATGTGAAAGTGATTCAGAAAAGGGAAAGCTTTGCTTAAAACCACTGGAAAATGCAGAAAGAAGGGGACACAGGCAACAGGGGTGAGTGTGGCCTGTGTCATATAACAGCATACCTCTAATAACTCTAGACTCCTTTTTGTCAGCTTCCAAGTCCCCACAACCTTAAACAATGTCCTAACAAAATTCTCCAGAAAACGCTGTTGCATATTTCAGTGCTTTCACTCAATACATCTTGACTGAGTGTCTTCTGCGTGTGTCAGACCCTGGAGTGAGTGCTTGTGTACATTGCTGAATAAAATAGGCACGAATCTGGCTTTCATGGAGCTTATTATCTCATGGGGGTAGGCAGTCTGGTGGGGAAGTTTACTGTCTTGTTTAGGTATCTCCTTAGGATAAATTCCTAGAAGCTGGAAATTGAGTCAGTGGCCATGCTTACTTCCATTTTAATTCAGCTCATCAGACGGCCCTCTTAAACAGTTATACCAAGTCATGTCCCTTTGACACCCCACTGACATTGGTATGCTTATTCTTTTTAAGTCTGTGCCAATCTGATAGATGAAATGAGCTCTCACAATTGCTTGAATTTGCATTTCTGTGATTTCTTTTTTTTAAACTGAAGTTGTGTATCCTTGCATGGGTATATTTCCATTTATGTTTCTCCTCTTGTGAATTTGTCCCTTTTCTCATTAGGGTGATAATTTTCTCATTGAGCTCTAAGAGTTATAGATTTAAAATATTAACCTTTCTTCATATGTATGACAAATGGTTGTTTTTTTATCTTTTTGTTTTTGAACTTGATTCATGACCTCTGGTCCTACACACAAAGTTTGAATTGTTTTGTACTCAAATGTGTCAATATTTTCCTTGTCATTTATTTACTTAACAAAACTAGCTCCAGGCGCCGGACACTCACTGTTGTCTGTATTTTATGAGCACCCATTCATTTGATCTTTGTCACAACCCTATGAAGTGGGTCTTGCCTCTGTTCCCAATTCCCCCGCCCCACACTATTTTAAGATGAGGAAACCAGGTGGAGAGAAAGAAGTTCCGTACCTTGATTAAGGTTACCCAGCTAGTATGTGGTGAAGTGAGAATACAAACCTCGTCCCAGGGCACTAAGCCACAGCAGCTGTGGTCCTGGTATCAGGTTTTGTTTGTGTTTGTTTGTGGTTGCTTCAAGAATGCTCACTGAATCTTCCCCATCTTTTTTTTCTTTTTCCAATATTTATTTATGTGACTGCACAGGGTCTTAGCTGTGGCACGGGGACTCTCAATTGAGGCATATGGAATCTAGTTCCCGGACCAGGGATCAAACTTGTGCCCCCTGCACTGGGAGCGTGGAGTCTTAGCCACTGGACCAGCAGGAAAATTCCTAGACTTCCCTATCCTTGAGGGCAAGAACCACATCTTTTATTTCTCCCAATGCCCTCCATACAGTACTGGGCACAGTGTAGCTAGATGCTTATGAATAAACACGTTCTGACTGAATGAGGTGCCTACATCTGGATTCTGGATCATCAGATCACACTTTTGTTCACGCTCGAAGAGGAGCTGACAGGTTTGATATTTTCCCTGTTGCCCCTCGCAGGTGACTTGGTACGCTCCCTCTGGTGCCTGCACTAATAAACGTCCTTCTCCGAGGTCAGTGGTACTTCCCCTTACTCCACAGCCTCCCTTCCCTCCTCAGATAAGCCTCCTGATGCTCCTCCCTGCTGGAGAAAGTCTAGTGAGCATTTTCCTAGGCTCCACTCTTCAGAATCTGTCATATAAACACCAAGAACGCACAAGACGAAAACCCCAAGAGGGGATGACCGGGAAGCCCAAAGAAAGCTTGATCAGGCCTTTGACACTCACCTAGAGATGGAAAGTCTTCCAGCTGTGGTCCTGGGTTATCTCTTTCTTTTGCACAGGAGGGAAGGAAGTGAGGAACTATTTTACTATTGCAATCGGCATTCTCACATGTTAACTCAAAGAGACGTAGTCAACCCATGATTAAGGAGCTATCTTTGACCATCATCTCTCCTTCTCCTCTCATGTTCAGTCATTTGATGGATTCACTTGGTTCTTCCTTTGAAGCCTCTCGTGCATTCATTTTTTTTCCAGTCTCCCTGACTGTTCTTGAATTTAGCGGTTCCCAAAGTGTGGTCCTTGGACCAGCAGCAGCACCTGGGAGCTTGTTCAGTTCAGTTCAGTTCAGTTCAGTTCAGCCACTCAGTCGTGTCCGACTCTTTTCGACCCCACCAGGCTCCTCTGTCCATGGGATTTCCCAGGCAGGAATACTGGAGTGGGTTGCCATTTTCTTCTCCAGGGGATCTTCCTGACCCAGGGATTGAACCCAGGTCTCCCGCATTGTAGGCAGATGCTTCACTGTCTGAGGCACCAGGGAAGTCATTAGAAATGTGTTGGGTGCTTATTGTAGAAAATTTGGAAAATATAGACAAATGTGAAAGAAGCAGCCCAAAACAAAAATTACTGTGTAACTCTAACACTCAGAGGGAAACACTATTTTAATATTTTAACCTTTTTTTCTTATTAAGAAACATTAAAAAAGATAATCTTCATTCCATTCTGTATGGATTGTGCTCAGTCACTTCAGTTGTGTCCAACTCCGTGTGACCCTATGGACTATAGCCTGCCAAGCTCCTCTGACCATAGGATTCTACACACAAGAATATTGGAGTGGGTTGCCATGCCCTCTTCCAAGGGATCTACCAGACTCAGGGATTGAACCCGAATCTCTTACATCTCCTGCATTGGCAGGTAGGTTCTTTACCACTAGCACCAACTGGGAAGCCTTTTGTATGGATTATGGATTATTTATGGATTTTGTGTGGACTTCCCTGTAGCTCAGATGGTAAAGAATCTGCTTGCAGTGCGCAAGACCCAGGTGCAATCCCTGGGTGGGGAAGATCCCCTGGAGAAGGGAATGGCAACCCACTCCAGTATTCTTGCCTGGAGAATCCCATGGACAGAGGAGCCTGGCAGGCAACAGCCCATGGGCTCACAGAGAGTTGGGCATGACTGAGCCGCTAACACTCCATGTGCTTTGGGTCTTCCATTTCTTTCTTTCCTTTCCCCAGTCTTGTCTTGGATCCCTGATCCTATTACTCTTCTTTTTTAAAATCGAAGGATATTTGACGTATAACACGTGTGGGTCTAAGGTGTGTGGCATGCTCATTTGGTCCGTTTATACTGAAGCATGATCACCATTATAGCGTTAGCTAATCCCTCTATTGTGTCACATAATGATCATTTCTTCTAGTGTTGGGAATAATTAAGATCTAGTCACTTAGCGGGTTTAATGCTTATGATACAGTTCTGTTGTCTGTAACCACTGTGCCCTCATGAGGGCTTTAGGACTTATTTACCTACTGGAGGCAAGCTGTTCTTCTTTTTAAGGCACATTCCTGACAGAGCAGCTTCTGGATTCAAAACTACTCAATGAGTTCTTCTTGCCCTCTGATTCCCGCACATAAAGTGCTCACCTTCGCATTCAAGGAGTTTTGTGATGGGATGTTTCCACGCTTCTCCGCTAACACGCCTGTTCCGTACGGCGTGGGGGCTGTATCCCTGGTACCTAACTATGCCACACGCTCAGTGGGCACCCAGTGCGTTTCTTCAGGGAATGAACGCATGTTCTGACAGCGTCGCGTCCTCGGTGAGCCATGCACGCTTGCCAGTCAGTTCTCCTGGCTGAAAAAGCAGTGTGTGCTGTGGTGCTTTCTCAAAATGCACACGGCCGGGTCCGTCCCAGGAGATTTCCGACCCACTGGGCGTGGCTCCCCAGGCATTCCTACCTGAGAGGCTCGGGTCTAGAACGTCCCTTCCCCGTTTCAAACACGGGCCTGTGTTTATTAGACAGTCTCCCTTCACAGCCGTCTCCCCTCCCCTCCCGAGTCCTGTCGTCCGTGGCCATACCACACCTTCTGCCTCCGCTGCGAGGAAGGGATGGGCCGAAGGGCAGAGTGACCTGAATTAGGCCAAGCTAGTCAGATTCTTCCCCTGGGAATCCGACAGTGTGCTGGAAGGCGCACGCGGTCGAAGGCAGTGGGTGCTGACACTCAGAAGGTTCTTTGCCCTTGGTGCTGGCAGCTGTGTGTGGTCCTCGGTGAGCAGAGGAGGCCGGCCTTCCTGGAGGAGAGGGGAACAGACATATAGGGGGAAGCAGGGAAGATAGCGAGGTCTCAGAGGGAAGGAGCCGGAGGAAACCATCCCACGATGCTCCGGTTTCCCGCAGCCAGCTGTGTGGCTGGCGCTGACTCAGCCTCCCATTCAGGCACCCTTTCCCCGGTCAGTTTGAGGATCCTGTTGAGAAGACCCTCTTTCCAGACCCGCCTCAGAGTCCTACTCATATTTCAGTGTCGCTCAGGGAACATTCCCCCGGGGATTCCCAGGTGGCAATCGTGGTGAAGAGTCCACCTGCCCACGCAAAAGGTGTGGGAGACTCGGGTTTGCTCCCTGGGTCAGGAGGACTCCCCTGGAGGCCGACATGGCCACCCGCTCCAGGATTCCTGCCTGGACAATCCCATGGACAGAGGAGTCTGGTGGGCTACAGTCCATGGGGTCGCAAGCGTCGGACACGACTGAGCGACTCAGCCTGCACACAGGTCTTCTCACAAGCTGCGCTCTCCCACTGCATTCCTTCAGTTGTTATGGCCTCAGGAGGGATCACGGGGCGTTACAGAAGTAATCAGGTTGGCCGAATAACCCGGGATTGGGGAGGGGCTTTACTGGTCCAGGGCAGAGAACCATGCTGGAGAAGAAAGTGGAGAACGCCGAGGTTGGGGGGCGTTCCTCTCCGCAGAGGAGGAACCTGGGGTCCCACGAGGACTTGGGGGGGAGGGTCCCATGAAGACTGGGGCCTGACCAGGCTAGCATCCTGGTGCTCTCACCCCGGGTGGGGCCGCAGGAGGGTCCTATCGTCCCCAGTCCGGGACCAGGGGGTGCCCAGAGTGAGTTCTGGGGCGCACACAGGATTCTGATGGGGGAAACGTCGCTCTAAACAGTCCACTTGTCTCTCTGAGACTTGTCAGGCTCTAAGGCCCAAGGGTGTTTCCCGAAAGCTCACTAAGGGAATGAGGTTGTTCCTGAGCGAATCTGGCTCCTGACCCGCTTCGTCCGGGAGCAGGTCCCACAGCCAAGGGTCTCTGGAATGACAAGATGGGGAGACCCCTCTCCGCCTCCCGCCGGCTCTCGGCAAACGTCTGGGTCCCCCCTTCAGACAGACGGGCCGCCGGGCCCACCCGCCCCTCCCTCCGCAGGCGTCACACCTTCTCACAAGGGAAGAGCGAGATGAGGAGACAAGCTGGAGAATGGAAGAAACCAGAAGCGGCCAAGGCAAAGAGCTCGGGGAAGGCAGCTTCCCTCCCAGGCTCCGCCCGCCGCTCAGGGCTGCTCCTGGCCCAGAGCTCGCTGCGTCTCTAAGTTTTGGTTCACGTCGGGTGGCTGGTTCAGACACGGCGCTTGTGCAATAGCCACATGCTCATGGCCCTTCCTTCTGAGCGCTGAGCAGGAAGGGGGCGCCGCGGGCTGGCAACACCTGCCACCCCTACTTCCCGTAGAGACGTTCGGTTTCACTGTGAGTGCTGCGGGGACTGGCGTGGAAGGGGTGCACCCAGGCCGGCTATTTCTTCCTCTCCAAGCCAGCACGGGCATTGGTGACGGACAGGGAGGCCTGGCGGGCTGCGGTCCACGGGGTCACAGAGACTCGGGCACGACTGATCGACTGAACTGAGCTGAAGCCAGCTCGGGGCTGGACAAGGGTCTCTTGGTTCCTTTGAGGAGCCTCGACTGACAGGCTGATGGAGGTTCGTGGACAAGACTGAGCTCCTGTCCTGTTTCTGTCACCACCTCTGACCTTCAGAATCTCACGCTCAGGACTTGGGATACACCTAGTTTGCCCCTCTTGCCACAGGCCTTTTGCTTAGTGACTTGGGGTAGACCAAACGCTCGGTAATTAAAGGGGTGGGGCCGAGTGACCTCCGCTGCCCAGGGCCATCAAGGCTGAGTCACCTCCCAGGTGGGTGGGATTTGCCTTCCCAGGCTAAGCAATAAGGCCTGCTGGTGAGTGTCCTGCTGAAAACTCGCCACCCACCATCTGGTAACTTTGAGAAGGGGAATGACTCCTCAGATGGATCGGAGTTTCCTTAAGTCTTTGGAAATTAAAACGTTTCAGGAACCCGTGGGATTTTTCTCCCCCTTTGGCTAAGTTACAAGGTGCTGCAAGCTGGAGGGCCTTCTCACTAGTTTTTCTGCAGTTTTCCAAGCGCTCAAAAGGTCCTGGCCTCTGGTTCAGGTAGACAGGGAGAGGTGGCCAGCAGCGACTTCTGTTTCCTTCTGTAGAGGAATCGACTGATTTGGTTTCAGGGAGTGGGAGGGGGCGGTGGGAGGCGGGGGTGCAGTCCTATTTTTATTTATGTCACCACTAGGGTGACCTCTGGGACTCCCCTCTCAGTCCCTCCAAAGGCAGCTGTCTGGCGCGGCTGCAGAGGCGGGTGGCCCACCTTCGGAGGCGCCTGAAGACTCGGAGAGGCGGCCCTGCCAGCTGCCGCTGCGGCTCTGAACGTGGAGGACCAGAGCCTTGTTTTCGCTGGAGGCTCAGAAGGCGGCCAGGGAGTTGGGCACAACGCGCCGGAGGCCCCAAGGTTTGGCCCTCAGGACGGGCCTCCGGCTCTGTAGCCTGGAATAGCCATATGGCCACCCTCCCTCCCCGGGCAGCCGGGCGCCGGCGGGCAGCCCCGAGGGGCAGCCCCCTGGGCGGGAGGCGGCGGTGCCTTTGTGCCCTTCCTCCCGGGGGCACGGGGCGGCCGCTGGAGGAGGGCCGGGGCGGCCCCGGGAGTCCCGCCAGGGCGCCGGAGTTGGGGAGCAGTGGAATCTCGTCTCCCTCTCGCAAGCCTCGCCCGCATCGTAATTCTTTTTATTTTTACTTTCGAGCCATGTAAGGCGCGCGGATGGGGTAGGAGCGTTCCGGCGACACGTTGCCAGAGGCGCAGCGCCCGCCCGCCCGCGTGGCCAGAGCGCAGGGAAGGGACAGGCCGCGCGCCCCGCCAGCCCCGCCGCCCACGGTCGCGGCTGCTCGGGGTCGCAGAGCCCGCCGCGCCGGCCGCCTCCACCCCCGCGGGCTCGCAGGGAGCCTGCGCTCGCGCTCCGGGCTCCGTGCGCGCTGGGGTAGCGCCGGGGCGCGAGGGCCCGGCCGGCCGTGCGCCCGGGGCGCGGGCAGGGGCCGCCCCGGCGGGTCCGCGCCCGGCGCCTCCGGCCGCCGGCGGCCCGGCCCACGTTTTCCGTCTCTCCCGCTCCCTCCGCCCCTGCGCGCGGCCCTCCCCTCCGCTCCCCCCGCCTCCCGCCTGGTCATGTGTCGCCTTTTTTTGTTTGCAGTGGAAACAATTTCTCGCCGCGGCGGAGGCGAGCGGGAGGCGGGACGGGGCGGGGAGAGCGGCGGGCCGGCGGGAGGACGCGCGGCGCGCCCGGCGGAGGCCGCAGGTCCCATGCCGCGCCGCGACCCCCGCGCCCCTGCCGCCCGCGCCCGCGGCCGCCCCCCGCCGCCCGCCGCCCCGCGCTCGCAGCGCCGCGCCCGCGCGCCCTCGGCCGGGCCCCCGAGCCATGCCCGCTGCGCGCCCGCCAAAGTTTGTGGGCTCCCGCTGAAGGGCCGCGGCGCCCCCGCGCCCCCGCGCCCCGCTCCGGCCAGGTGAGTCCGCGCCCGCGCGGGGTCGGGTCGGCTCGGGGCGCGCGCGCGCGCTCCGCTCTGGGGGCCGTCCCGGAGGCGGCCGACTCGGGGGCTCCGCAGTCCCCGGGGGCTAGGGTCCCGGGGTTGGGGGGGCCCGGCTCGGCGGGGAACACGGGAGCCCCGGGGAAGTTGCCGGGTGCTAAGAGGCTCCTGGCCCCGACGTGCGGGCTGTTTTCCCCGGTGCCCCGACTTCCCAAACGAAGCGACGGACTTGGGGGTGTCGGCGGGACCCCCGGCGCCACGGGCCGGGGCTGGGGGTGCTGATCAAGGAGAGATCCCAGAAGAGAGACAGGCTCCTAACAAAGATCCCTCCACCCCCCTGACTGTGCAAGCTTGGCACCGGCAAAATCTCCCGAGGACCGAGTCCTGGTCACCCGGGCCCTCTCTGAATCCCCCCTTGGGCCCCGGAGGAGTTGCGGGGCGAGAGGCTTCCCCCGATGTGTTTCTGGGGCTCGGCGCGGCCGATTAAAGGCTGGTGCCGTCTGACCGGCAGTGAAGGCATGCGGGCTCCCGAGGGCCGGGCCGGCGGGGCGAGGAGCGGTTTCCCCGTCGCCCGGCAACGCCGCTGATGGACGCGGGCCGCCGCCAATCGCCGCGCCCGCAGGTCCCCTGGAAATGTTTTTGACAAGGACCGTCGGCGAGGGAGCAGAGCGCGTGTGCGCGTGCGCGGAGGGGGCGGTTACCGCACACCCCAAACTCGCCACTGCCCTGCTCCGCTTGGGGGGGGGGGGGGCGGGAGTGATTTCTCAACTTCTTAAAGTTCGCATTGACCATCTGTTGGGAGCAGGGCCACTCATGCCTTGTCAGTTGTTTGCAGCCCTCTGGCAGCGGGCAAGGAATGAGCTTTTCTGCTGCGTTTTCTCCGTGAAAAAAAAGAGGGGGGGGGGAGGATAACGAAACCCAGCAAGTCACAAGCAGGAGGGTGTGCGTGTGCGGAACGTAGCCAATAGCTAACCGAAAAGTTGTAAGGAGGTCAGTGGTGGACATTTGCGGATCCGGCGAGCAGCCTTACTGGCAGTCGATGGAAAATGTTTGCTGAACTGCAGACTCACATGATCTGGATTCTTTCTCTGCGCCCCCCCCCCCCCCCCGCCCCTTCTAAAAAATAGTAGGAAAAAAAAAGATTTGGCGAATTATGTCGTTAGAGATCATAATGGAAAACTCCTCAGTGTGGTTTCTGGGAACGGTAGCGGTCAGCAGCTCTTGATGCGGTCGCTGTAAAATGCGGATTTATGGTGGTGCACTTAACAGCTGGCCAGCTTCGGGGGCACCGGAACACAAAGCCCGCGAGCGATCCAGGGGTGCTGAGCCCCGGAACCCTCTCTTCTGGGCAGCGCCGCTTTCCTAAGAAAACCGTATTGCTGGCAGTGTTTGTTTAAAACAAAAGAAAACATGGAGAATAGCATGTTAGTTCGTTTGGGAAGCTACTGACAAGTAAGCAAATTAAAAAGAAAGAGCAGCATGTTGTCATAGCAACAGTGCAATTAAATTACTTTACTGTCAGCCATGATATAATTTTCCTGTTTGGTAGCTCAGGAGACGTAAAACTTTTTTCCTCTGAAGCTAAAGTTGACTTCAGCGGCTGGGTCTTTTTTTTCCCCCCCTCTTTTGTACTCGACTGTGTGGATATTCCTTGTTATCAGAAAATTAGGTTATTTGATGAGGGGAGTCCCGTGAAAACTTTGAGCGGACAAGCCTAGCCTTGATTTGTTTACAAAGAAGGTAAAAGCTGTATCAGGCTGGTCTCTGTCTTACCTCCAAATTGGAAACACTAGATTATTCTTTAATAGGTATCCTATACTACTCAGAGTAGCCTCCCTATTTGATGAAAAACATACTCCCTGTGGATGAACTGGAAGTATCTTAACTACCTGCTTCCATGGGCCTTTGGTGCCTGAAAATTTTTTCCGTCCTAACAGTTGGACATTTCAGGGCAGCTCCAGAGAGCGCCCCCCCCCCCCCAGGGCCTTCTGTCTGCAGGCTGTTTGTCCACCTTTGCCTCCCCTTACCCTGCGTCTCCCAGGGGTGGGCAGTGTAGGGGGGTGGTACTACCAGTTCTCAGGTACCTTTGGGTATTCAGTGCCCCACATATGCTTTCTAGAGCTTCCCCAGCTGGAGTGGCAGTTATTTTAGGCGTGGCGTCAGTGAACTTTTGGAGCCATAGAATGATCCCGTCTTTGCTTTTGCTGTGTTCATTTTTTTCTTTTTCTTTTTTTTTCTAAACAGCCTGCATGATGTTACTCAGGGGTGGTTGTGCTTAGTCGCTCAGTTGTGTCTGACTCTTTTGAGACCTCGTGGGCTGTAGCCCACCAGGCTCCTCTGTCCATGGGACTCTCCAGGCAGAAATACTGGAGTGGGTTGCCATGCCCTCCTGCAGGGGATGGAACCCAGGTCTCCCACATTGAAGGTGGATTCTTGACTGTCTGAGGCACCAGGGAAGCCCAGGGCTGGGGTGGAGGACAAAACAGACACCCTTCTTACACCCAGCACGTTGTGGGAGAGTGGGAGACCTCTTTCCTTATCTTCTTGTTCTTTCTGTCTCACGTTGAGTGCTCGAGGGATGAACGTGTTTGCCGCTGTTGGGCTCGCCCTGTGTGTGGACCTGTTACCCCCCATTGTCTTTCCTCCTCAGGTATTTTACCCCTGTCCTAGGCTGTTGATAAAAATGGGGCAGGAGCAAAACAGAATTCCTTAGCAGCTTTTGTTGGATTTGCCTTCTTTCTTGAAGCTCTTGGCTGCTCTCCTGACTTTTTGCACTGATTTTAATTTCAGTGGATGGCTCATCTTCACATTCCTCTTTATTTGCGTGGTGTCTGACAGCGCTCACTTCTTTCTTCAGAGTGTAGTGTCCCAACGAAATTAACTGTGCTTCCTCCTCCACTCTGAATCCACAGAATAATTTGGCATCCCTCTTTAGACTTGCCAAATGTTATTAAAGTTGCAGTTTTAGGTCATGACTTGTGGTGGAAAAAAAGAAAAAGTCAAATAGAACACTACTAAAGTGGTTCTCACCATAGCCAGTTTTAATTCTCAGGCAGTTGTGATGGTCTTCGCATGGAAACAGCTGAACGTAACCTGAAACAGTGGGTCTTCACCTTTCAGGTGTGTCTGTATTTTTTTTTCCCCGAGAAACGTAAATAGTAAGACCTGTCACCCAAAGTGACCTGGGTTGTGGCCGCCCTTATTCTGTGGTGTTTTACTGTGAGGCTCAAAAGAATTTTGTACATTTTCATGTAAAGCAGGTAAACAGAGGCAAGCAGGAAATAACTGCTTTTCCTAGGGTCACGGTCAGAGGCTTCATGGATCAGGAAGAAGGCCTTGTGGAATTTCCCTTTTTTTTGTTTTAAATTATTGCAGTGTAGTTGACTTACCGTGTTGTGTTAGTTTCTCGTGTACAGTGGAGCGGTTTTATACGTACTACATATTGGTTTTGCCATTCCTTTCCCTTACAGTTTATCGCAGGGTATGGAATAGTGTCCCCCTGCGCTGTGGCACAGCTGGAGGGATCTCAGTTGCCCCGCCAGGGATGCAACCTGTAGCTTCTGCAGTGGGAGCGCTGCACGCTACCCCCGGACAGCCAGGGGCTCCCCAGGGCCTTGTGGTTCCTCCAGGCTAGGTGTGACAGGCTCCCCGTCCCCTCCTCCCGTCGCGTTCTTCTCGTGAGGCAGGAGCCCCTGACGGCGCCGCACACCCTCCGGGTCTCGTCCTCGCGGGCCGGCGGGTCCCCGCGCTGCTCCCGGCGGCCCGGGGAGGGGCGTCTCGGCGGGGCGGGGGCCGCGGCTGCCTCTCTGCCGGCGGGGTCCCCCCTCATCTTCTCTGTCTTGTGTGTTCCAGGAGCCTTCACGTAAATGGGTCCAGTCATGCCTCCCAGCAAGAAGCCGGAAAGCTCAGGAATTGGCGTCTCCAGCGGGCTGACTCCGCGCTACCGGGGCAGCGGCTTCTCCAGGGCCCTCCAGGAAGACGATGACCTGGACTTCGCCCTGCCCGACGTCCGCCTAGAGGAGGGGGCCATGGAAGATGAGGAGCTGACCAACCTGAACTGGCTGCACGAGAGCACAAACCTGCTGAAGAGCTTCGGGGAGCCCGTGCTGCGCAGCGTCAGCCCGGTCCAGGACCCGGGCGGCGAGCCGCCGCCGTCGCCCGCCCACTGCGACGCGCCCTGCGACGCGCGGCAGAACCCCAACTGCAAGCCGCCCTACTCCTTCAGCTGCCTCATATTCATGGCCATCGAGGACTCCCCCACCAAGCGCCTGCCCGTCAAGGACATCTACAACTGGATCTTGGAACACTTTCCGTATTTTGCAAACGCACCTACTGGGTGGAAAAACTCAGTGAGACACAATTTGTCCTTGAATAAATGTTTTAAGAAAGTGGACAAAGAGAGGAGTCAGGTAAGCCTCGGGGACTGGAGCTCAGGTTTTCCTTTTGGAAGAGAAACATGTCTCTCCATGAACAGAAAATGTTCAGGAATGTGAGTTTGTTGTATGGAAGTGGCCGTTGCGTAAACGGAGAACTCCGTCTCATTGCATGCGTTCAGGCGGTTGTCAAGAACTTCCTTTTCCTGCGTTTGGTGTTTCTGAAGCTGGCTTGAGGGCTTCCCACTGGGACCAGGGTTACAAAACAGTGGTTTGCAGACCTGATGGGCTCTTAGTATGGTCATCCCTCAGCGTGGGTGGGTCCCTTTGGTTTTCAAGACCAAAGAAAGGTCTGTATTCTGAGAGCACCATGAAGCATGAGGAGTGTAAATATACATATGTAGGAAAACTGCCACCAAGGGCTAGAGAAATGTGGCATTTGTATTCTTTCTGAATATTAACTCAGAGAAAGGCCATTGGTCTAGGATTCTGGAATATATACACAGTGGTGGACATTGTGCGGATGACTTGAACATCTTTATATACTGCAGGAACAAAGACCCCCAGTGCCCAGGGGATTCTCTTGAAATTCTGGGCTCTGTAAAGTGTTTCGCAACTTTGAAATTCCCTCTCAGTGTGGAAAAGTGGGCTGAGAGTAAGGTTCTCATTCAAGACTGGCTTTTTAAAAGGTTGAATTTTTGCTTTAAAGCCTTTAAAGCTCGAGCCTCGTGATTTGCTAAAGAAGTTTTAATAATTTGCTTTATCTTTCTTGTATGGAATATAATAGGTAGATGGAGAAGGCAATGGCACCCCACTCCAGTACTCTTGCCTGGAAAATCCCATGGACAGAGGAGCCTGGTAGGCTGCAGTCCATGGGGTCGCTAAGAGTCGGACACGACTGAGCAACGTAGCAGCAGAAAGAAGGTGGGCTATTAGGAAAATGGTGGCCTAGCTTGAAGTTCTGAAAAGTAACATGTGTGCGTGCTAAGTCGCTTCAGTCGTGTCTGACTCTGGGAGACCCTGTGGACTGTAGCCTGCCAGGATTCTCTGACCATGGGATTCTCCAGGCAAGAGTGCTGGAGTGGGTTGCAATGTCCTCTTCCAGGGGATCTTCCCGACCCAGGGATCGAACCTGCATCTCTCGCTTTGGCAGGTGAGTTCTTTGCCACTAGCGCCGCCTGGGAAGCCCGAAAAGTAACGTGTCCACGGCTAAGGTAACTTGGCAGAAGAGCACTCCACTCAGTTTTCACGTTGCCGTGTCCTCCAGCTTTGGCTCCTATGCTAGCGGTGCTGCAGTGTGCAGCGGGTGGTCTGCTTTCCTTTCTTTTTTAAATATTTATTCGGCTGCACCAGGTCTTGGCTGCAGGGATCCTGACCCGGGACCGAACCCAGGCCCCCGCCTTGGGAGCTCGGAGTCTTAGTGGACCATCAGAGAAGTCCCTGCTTTCCATTCTTTCTGAAACTCAGGTTCAGGCTCAGGACCGTTTTCGTGTGGGCTCAGCAGCTGCACAGGGTTGGGGCCTCTCATTTCTTCTGTCTCCGGGAACAGGTTTGTGCTTCTAGTAGGATCTTGAGCCTGAGAAGATTCTACTTGCCCAAGTCTATGGCTGGCCAGGCTGAAACCCCGTTTCTCCTTGCTGTCCCTGGGCGTGCTTGCCGGCAGGTGCTGTTCACCCAGCGTTTGTGCCGAAGGTGGGGTGGGGTGGTGTGCAGGGCCTGAGGAGGGCATTGCCTCAGAGGAGGAAGCTGTGGATGCTGAGGAGCTTTGCCGCTAACCCGGGAGCAGGTGGCACCTCGTCCAGCATGCAGGAGTGAACACGCCTGAGCGCCCCGGCCCTGCCCTCGCAGGTCCTCATCCCGTAGCTGTAACCGTCACGGGATGCTGCCGCTGTCCCCAGGAGTCAGTCACACTCTCCTCCCGTCCTTATCCCAGAAGGGCCATCGGGAGACTGACCTCTGGACTCGACTCTGCTCAGTGTTTCCTGATCGTTCCTTGAACTTAGAGAAAACTCGCTGTTTCTATGAAGAACTAAGTCCGTAACCTTAAAAGCTTCCATACAGGTGGGTCCTCTGGAAAGGGAAGGTCTGGACAAGCAGTTTCACGTCCCAGGTGGCGCTAGTGGTAAGGAAGCCGCCTGCCAATGCAGGAGACATAAGAGACGCAGGTGTGATCCCTGGGTGGGGAAGACCCCCTGGAGGAGAGCAAGGCAAACCCACTTCTGTATTCTCGCCTGGAGAATCGCATGGACAGAGGAGCCTGGCGGGCTACGGTCCTTGGGGTTGCAAGGAGTCGGACACAACTGAAGCGACTGAGCACGCAGCACGGAGAAGCAACCACAGGGTTAGAAGGGAGAGAAGACAGAGCTGTCAGGCCCGCCAGGGTCGCACATCCCTGCTGCTGTGATGACCGGGGCTTTTAGTTTGGTGTGAAATGATTCTGCGCGTTACCGCACGCCTGGCTTGGCGTGTTTGCTCTCACACTGGGCCACATGAAAGTAATTGAGCAAATGCACACTCTGAAATGTTCAACAAGACCAGCTCCACGGCGAGCGGAGGCACTCGGGAGTTATCGTTCATCAGCCTGGGGCGTGACAAGCGGGTGTCCGACGGCTCCGCCCGGCACCCCGCCCGGCACCCCGACACTGCTCTGGGAGCCCGGTTTGCCCGGGGTGACGGCTGTCATGGCACACACAGCGCCTGTTGAAAGGGAACGGTTTCGAGGGCTTGGGGGTGGTTAATCCTGTGAAACGCAGAGTTGTGGCTCCCTGGCTGGACGGACCTGTACCGACATGCTTCCAGTGAGATGCCAGTCGGTTCTGTGGCTGGGAGTTTGTTCCCAGCGTTGCTGATGCTGCAAGAACAAAGTAGGAGTGCGAGCTCCCCTTTTCTCTCCGCTTCCCTCTGGTTCCCCAGGGACCAGCTGGAGGCTGCCTGGTGAGGGGCAGGTTCCCTGGTGCCCTCAGGCACCGGGCCCAGCCCCTTCGCTTGCGAGTGAGTCAGGGAAAGGCGTGTCCCCCACGCTCTGGCTGGTGAAAGCCCCTCGGGCTTGCAGGTAAGCTTGTTTTTCCCCAGGGGATTTTACTTGGAGGTAGCTCCCGCGCTGAGGTTCCACTGCAGCCCAGGGGTTACGCGGGTGCCTGAATGCTGGTGAGAAGGATGGCGGGGGGCAGGTGGAAGCCTTGCGTTTGTGTGCACAGGGTTAGCCGTCCCTCTTCTGTTCTCTTGTTTAAGGTGGAGGATCACACTTAGGCCAAGATGCACAAGTGTGAGCGTGCAGAATCCGGTGTGATCCTTGTCTCTGGGGGCCTGGGGGCCTTGTCTCTGTGGCACAGCTGCCTGACCGCAGCTGTGGGGAGAGGGGACTCCCTGAAACACTTGCGGAGTCACCTGTGGCTCTTACACACCCACCACTTCTCCTGATTCAGCAGCAGATACTCTGTTTCAGCAGGATTAAGGAGGCTGGGGAAAACTGAAATTCTTAATAAGCTTCATATTTCTGATTTCATCCAGATTTGGGAATCCTTGAATCAGATGCCCTTTCGGGTTCTTTCCAATGCAGAGATTTCATCAAGAACATACTCTCATGAATGAGTAAGTTAGGTGTGAATAGTATTTTTTTTCCTGGTTTATTTCTGATAGGAATTTGAAAGATAGAGGTTTTTTTTTTTCCTTTCTCCCCAGTCATGGAACATTTCAGACATGTACAGTACAGAGAACAGTGTAGTGACTCTGTAACCATCATCACCATTGGCCACACCAGACTCAGTAGTTAACAAGCTGGCCTCCCTTATTCATTCATTTTTGTCTTTCTGTTCTTAAGTAATTTGAAGCAAATCCTATCCCTTGTGTCATTTTATTCCAACACCTTTTAGTGTGTTTAGGAGTCGTTTCCGTAACCACAATGCCAGTGTCACCTCTAACAAAATGAACAGTTCTTTGGCATCACCAGATGCCAGGTCTGTTGTTCAGATATTCTTGATGGTTTACAAAATGTTTGAATCAGGATCCAGACATCGTTTAAGCGCTGCATTGGGCTCTGCTGCTTCAACCTGTTTTCATCCGCGGCAGACGCCTGGCCCCTTCCTTGTCAAACTGACCCCTCTGCATAATACGTCTGCTTCATTGGGGTTTCATTAAGCTTGTTCCTCCGTCCCCTTGTACGTCTCCCCTGTGAAATGGAAGTGCGTGCCAAGAGGCTAGACCCCGTTCTGCTTGTTTGGCCCGTGGGAGCACGTTATGGCCGGGTCTCCTGCCTCCTCACGTCAGGGAGGCTGGTTGACCCACGCCTGGGGGCGCTGAGCTTGAACTGTGGGTTCACGTAGGGTTGGCTGCACTCTCCTCTGCAGAGTCCCCTGCAGCCTTTCATCTCGCGGTCTCATCCGTGGGTAACCTTTGCCCAGGTCAGCCCGGACAGAGGTCCAGAGTCTGGGATTCCGTTTTCAGTTTCCTAACCACAGATCTAGTTGGAACCACAAGACTGGTGTGTGCTAACCTCTCTGAGTATTTGTAAATGAGACATAGAGCACAGTTTTTTATTTTTTATAAACTGGATTATAGTGGCTCAGGTGTGCATGTTGCTATTTCTGTGCTGTTTCTTGACTTTCCAGTTTAACAAAACATACTGCTGTCATCAGAGGGTTTATAAGGGAAACAGTGTACAGAAGTACATGTGTTATATTCAGAGCTTTAAGTACAGTTTTAGCTTATACATATAAGCAGCTTGTCTTGGTTGAAAGAGGCCTCGATTGGAAGCCAAGATACCTGGTTCGCATTTTGATGCTGGAAGTACATGACTGCCTGGACCTCAGTTTCCTCAGCTATAGAAGCAGAACTTTATTGTTACTTGGGGCTTCTTAACCTGGGGTCTTTGAATGTCAGAGGCTTTGCAGACAGCCTGAAATTGTTGATAGCATGTCATGTGACTATGCATTTTCCTAGAAGATTTCAAGATTTTATTCAATCAGTTTTTTGGTTCTTAGTGGGACTCCTGACCCTGGAGAGGTGAAGAACCACGTGTGTTTTGTAATAACAGTAAT